TGATTACTGCAATTACCGTCACCCTCAATATTGACGACCCGTTCGATGTATTTGTGCATAAAAATTGGAATCTCTTCAATGAATGGAATCTTTAGTGGAGGTGGTGAAGGAGGTGGTTTACTAATACGAGCTCCTTTGAAAATATTTTTTTGAGATTTTAGAGTTGGTGAGTCTGGAAAAACTCTGTCAACATGTTCAAAATGCAAAGGAGACCGCACCGTTGAATTGTCACTCGGTGTAGGCTTGAGCTTCTTCGGAACCCCTTTTATTACCGATTGTGAGGGTGGTTTCCATTCGGTGGTTTACGAATAAGCATTGTTCCTCAATTGTTCTTTGATGTTGAGTTTCATATCGAATTTCAAAAATCTCTCTTGTATCAGTTCCCATTCGGTCAAGATAGAGACATTAGATTTAACGTCTTTCATGACATCATCATCATCATCAAAACTAAGTGTAGCACCCCAAAATTTGCTCATATTCTCTTGTTTTCTTGGCTTATGTTTCTTTTCATCTTCATATTCATGTTTGCATAGCATTTTTTCTTGGCAGGGGATCAAGGTATCATGGTTTGTTTCTCATGCAAGAAGGTTAAGTTTCTTCAAGTTCAAGCAAGGTGTTCTCTATGACTTTGTGGGTTTCTCAACCCTAGAAGTTCCTCATCATCAATTTTGGGTTAAGGTAACATCATTCCAACATCATATGTGTTTCATCTTGGCTTATTGTGCAAGAAATCATCAAGAGATTTAAGTTTGGTGCAAGGTGTTTGACCTAATATAGCAATTTGTGGATGTTATGATCAAATGATCATATCTCCTTCAATTTTCAACATCTTGAGGTGGTTATTTTTCTAATTAACTCTTCTCATAATCCTTAACAAGTTCTCTTTGCAAAGAAATATCAAATTATACCTGGAAGGTCATCAAAAGTTTCAAGCATTATAGGTCATTTTGGGTTTTGGAAGATTTTTTTAGTCAACTTCAAAAGAGCATAACTTGGTTAATTTTCATCATTTGAATCCCATTCTTTTTCTAGAATAAACTTGAAGATGCCTTATATAACTTTGATTCAACATGGAAGAGCTAAAAACCCATCGAAGGTCTTGGTTTTCATCAAAACGTTATAGGTCTCTTTTTGGTCCCTAAAATACTTGAAATTTTTCTAAGTGTTTTGAGACTTTCACTTCTTTCATGGAGGCTACTTTGACAGACCATATCTCTCAACTCAAGCTACCAAATCAATACTTTCTTTTCACGTTTCAAATATTGCATCTCAAAAAGCCTCCTACATTGTGAGCACCATGGTTGCAAAATTTGAATTTCAAAGCTGAAGTTTCTCTCCAAGTCAGAATTGAAATTGTTTGAATTGGCCTCTAATCACCAAATTAAGCCATGAACTCAATCTAAACATGTTTAACTAACTTTCATGCAGTGATTAGCACCTTGAAATGCAATATTTGAGTGAGTTTTGACAGATTTCAAGTCACACTTTGCTCATGCTGCAGATGTGCATGATTTCCATTCAAAATGCCTCATTCACCCTCCATTTTGATTCAGATATCTTATCCTATAAATAGGGAGTCATTTCCACCCATTTCCAAAAGCTTTTGATAGCCAAAACCACTATGTCAAGATACTATTTGAACTCTTGAGCTTGAACTTCGAATTTCTATTTCCACACCTTAAACACTCAAATTCTCCACTCAGTTAGCTTCACCAACATTCAGTGAAGCTAACCAGCTCAAGAACTTGAAGAATCGTGGCCTGAATCAAACTAGGGAACTTCATTTTCAAAGCTTCAAGGTTGAGCTTCAACAGGTATAATTCTCAACCATTTTGATCCAAATTTGTTGCTAAGATGTAGCTCTTGACATGCTGATGCTATTTGTATTGTTAGTTTTTAGTTGTAGTTGAGTTTTGTAGTTGAATTTTCAAATTTGTGTTTGAATCTTGTTCTAGTTTTTTTCAAATCGAGTGAGTTGTAGTTTAAAAAAATTTGGCGCGATGATATGGTTGAGATCGTCTTCAAAAGACGCATCAAATGAAACCAATATGAGCTCCATTGGTTATGGTTTAAGGGATCCACGATTTTCTGCAGATCCTTGGGTATTTCAGGTGGCTGGAGGTTGAAGATGATGATCTCACCGTCCATCATGCCACTTGTTTTAATCTCAGGCCTTTGACTTAAAATGGATCTGTGTGCATGAGTTGACTAGTGTCTATTGTGGATGCGCGCTTTATGATCTTTGGATCTAACACGTCATTTAATGAGGCTTGATCTAATGCACCTTGTTTTTCTATTTTATTTTCTTTTTCTAATTTGTTTTTATATTGATTTTATTTTCAGAAATTCATATTAAATTCATTTTTTATCAGAAAAATATCAAAATATTTTTTAAAATTCTCTTTTATTTTTCTCTTTCTGATTTATATTTTCACTTTTGTATTTTTCATGTTTTTTTAATTTATTTGCTTGATTTTAATTAGTTTAAAATTTATTTTGAGCATTTAAAAATGTTGAGGAAATTTTCATGTGATCCTATGATGGTCCTAGACCTATGGTGATTCTCTTGAGTTCTCACTCATGTCTTGATATCCTCTTTCTTATTTTAGGGTTTTTCATTCTTTTATTTTATTTGTTTTATTTTGATTTAATTGCAAATGGGTGAATAAATGATTTGGATCCATTGTGGGGTGATGTTCTGACTTTTTCTCAAGTCATATGGATATTTGATATTTACCTAGTGCGACCTCTCATTTATGGATGTTTATGATGGTTGATTCACTTTGAAGTTTGATTTTGATTTTCAAACTTAAGTGATCTTTCTCATGTATCCATGATTGGATTACTATTTGTTGATCATGGTATGTTGCTGCCCTGCCTTGTTTATTAAGTCATTTGTTTGCTTGATGCTTTGCTTTTTTTGGATTCATCTGATTAAGCATGGTTTGGTTTTCCTTACTTTGGTGTTTGTTTTCACATCTTGGATGTGGCTTGGATTTGAGATGCATCAATGATATGTTGACTTGAGGTGTGTTTGTCCAACATTTTTATGGTTTGACCTTTTGTTTTTTCTTTATGCATCTTTCCTATTCATCTTCTTCTTCTCCCTCTTTGAGACTTCTTCTATCTTGGTTTCATGTGTGATTGAATTGGATATTGTTTACTTGTCCTTGCTCACATTATCCCTTAAGATTCCTAGTCCCTCTATTTAAGATGGAAGTAGGAGAGACATTAGGCTTTCAATCCTTTGCATGATAACAATTAGGATAGTCCCTTTCATCTCAACTCTAGGTCCATCTTTTGTATGGTAACAGTAGGTAGTCCCTTTCATCTCAACCTTAGAACCATTTTGTATGATAATATTAGGGTTTTCAGTTTCCCATTAGTGTTCCTCTGTGCCTTCTCTTCTCATCTCAAACTTCTCTAAGACACTTAATAAAGAATGACAAACTTTGTACGCTACGAGCCTTAAGTACATGGGAAATGAAGAGTGGGAGGGGGGGGGGGGGGGGGGGGGTTTCTCCTCACTTGTCTAGAGTGTTTAGTGTATGCCCTTTGGGAGATATGCGACGTATTCGCTCTTATGTCATAGCATTTAGTGCAATGTGTGTCTCAAACAAATTCAATTCACTTCTCTAAAACTCTTAAACCAAATTCAAACCTTTTTATCCTTCGGGATTGTTATTCAGATCTTTTTTCAGAAAAGAGTACGTTATTTTTCCGTTCTACCGCAAACAAGCATCGACCCTAACTGCTGGAATGGAAACTTAGCGCCGCTCATAAAAAAACACTTAACCAACCTGTGGTTTCGTACCCCAAACTACGTTTCCTCTGATTTCTCATACCAGATGAGGATATGTAGGCACAAGACAGAGATGTCTTGGCGAGCAACCTTCCCTCATCACCCGTAGTTTCCCAAACTACCTTGACTCTGACTTTCCCATTGCACGAGGGAATACGTAGGAATAGGGTGGCGATGTCCTATCGAGTCTTCTTTTCTTTTCTTTTCCCTGGTTTAGCAGTAGCTTTTAGATAACTTACCCTTTTTTTAGATAACAAGCATGGATCCTGTTGAGTACAACGAACGTGAGGGGTGCTCATACCTTCCCCTTGTGTAACCGACTCCCGAACCCAAGATTTGGTTACGATGACCTTGTCTTTTCCCATCCTTTTAGGTTTTCTTCGATCGTTTCCTTTCCCTCTCTCTGGGATAAATAATGTTTAGTGGCAACTCTTCTGTTTTTTTTCGCCGGCCCTTTTCGCAGTTGCGACACTAAGCTTATTCTAGTGAGTTTAAACCTCATCCATTCTTATCGAGCTACCAAGTTTCACCTTTTTTGCAATAACACAAGCACATGGGAGACCATATTCTTTCACAATTGTGCATTCACACTTTGCGCTATTAGAGCCTACATTATCACCTTATTTAGCTTCGTGAATAATATTATTCAAACCTGCTCGAGATATGTTGCAGACCAACTGAGAATAAAGATTATTGTCTTTAAATATATGTTCCAAAACTGTGATGCTCTGACCAAATGATGTATGTATCTCATTATGTTGGTTCTAAATCATTTGGTTCATAGAGTCTCAATCTCTACACAAATCACCCTTACTATTTCCCAACCAATTCTTCAATTTAGCATGGCTAGATCCAACTCGGTCTGTTGTTGTATTCCTAAGGTGTCTAATCTGATCGGTCCATGAACAAACAATTTTCTCTTTCACCTAGTCAAGAATTATGCTTTTAACATATTTCAACAAATCAGGATATTTCTCGTACACCTTTCTGACATGTATAATGGAATCTACATATAACTCTTTAGTGGAAGAGTTTACTATACCATTCCATGAATCAATTATTTTTTCCACAATCACACTCGCCTTTACCATTTTTCCATCTTCGGACTTAGTTTATTTCATCCCTACCGCGGGTTCAACCTGACTTCTCACATTCTTTGTTATGTGATACCTATAAAGCAATACATAAGAAGTAGGAATTACCTTTGCAATTGAACCATCAAACTAGTATCATAGTCGGTAACATTCACTTTAGGCATCTCTTCTAGGTCCTTAAACATTGTTCGAAACACTTCTAAGGCCCAAGTAACATTCTCCTCTTTTTTGCTCTCTAGAATTGCAAACCCAACATAATAAGTCTTCTTAGTAGAGGTAACACCAACCATCTCCAATAATGGAAGTTTGTACTTGTTGGTCTTGTACATTGAACCAATTATGAGAACAATAGGAAACATGTTGAATAACTTAATGGAATCAGGATGAGTCCAAAATATATCTCTAACGGTTACTCCATCCTCACACATTTGATACATAGATACATAATTGTTATCATCCAACAATTTCAAGAGTTGTTCCATTTCAGTTGTATCCCCTTAGCGCATTGTTAGTTTAGTACTGAATATTATACACTTGCTTGATATTTAAAATATCGTCGGGTCTTTTGAATTTCAAAGTTGCAAGTATATTTTTTGGGTTGAACCAAATTCAACGTCATGTCAATAACATATTTCTTCTCTTTCAGCAAGAAGCGACACGCAATTCGATGGTCAACTAGCTTTTCACACAAGTCATAGTTATGTAAATCACATATGATGTTAAATATCTATTTAGTGTTTGCTAACTTATAACCATGCAACTTAAAGGGACACTTGCTCTTTCTTAAACTGGTGTCATCTCATTTAAAATTCTGGAGAGGAGGTATATATTTCCCACTTCTTCTGCACGTCATTGTCATAAAAGCACATCTTTTATCCGAACCATTATTAGACCTTTTGATTACCACACCAAACCTCATTTTGAAGGCCTCCGTACGAATCTATTGAAGTATGTGATCACAAAACTCAAACTCTTACTCATTTTTTAAATTGGTTGCTAATATCTACCTCCTTCACAATAAAACCTTTGGCATCCGGAGACACAACATGTTTAGGGAAAACATCGGGGTCCACCATATCTAATGAAAACAATTGGAATAGAACAGTAAATAAGTGCTAATGATGTAAACAGAGCTGAAAAATGATAACAAACAAATATCGGAGATGCATTTTTTATGAGTTCATACTCGTTTTGGAAATGAATCTTTAGAATAAACACACGTTTTTGAGACTAAAAACAAGATTAATATGAGTAATGAGACTTGAAATTAATGATCTTTACTTGGAATTCCATCTTCTTTTACTCCCTTTAATGTGATGAAACACAAGATTTAAGATTTGGAGTGAAAATGTGGATTGAGAATGAAAGAGTTTTTTTATGAGGGTTTGAAGTGGAAAACAAGTACGGTTGTGTGATCGTGCAGTTCAATGTTTTATCAACTTATTTAGGAGATGCATATCTGAAAATATATGGCATACAAAGATCACAGAAATTTCAAAATCCCTCCCCATACCTCCAAAGATGCATCTCCGAAATGTTCACTTGGCTGATCAACTATCAATATATTTTTTGAAATTACCCAGAGATGCATCTCTCGATTCTTTTAGCATTCATCTAGTGTGGCACTCATTTGGTATGCCCTAACATTGGTGCATGGTGCGTCTGGAGATACATCTCCGAAATCTGAGGGGAAATTTCGGTTTTCCATAGGGTATTTTCCCACCCCATAGGGTGCCATAAGAAATTCCCTATGATTATATATATGTTATGTTAAAAAATTAATACATATTATATCTGCAACCAAACAGAAAGAAGATTTTGCTACAAGGTTGAGGTCGCGTGTTTGAACATTGATTCTAGCATTTATAATTTCAAATAACTCATTTAATAAAATTTCAAAAAATAATTTCAAATGGAATTGAACACATGCAATTGGAAAATGCAAGTTCTACCATGACCAATCAAGCTAATTAAATTTTTGGCACGTATGCACTTTTATATTTATGTATAATAATTTATTAATCCTTAACACTTAATGTAAAATTTAAATAATATTTATTTTCATTATTAAATATTAAAAAAATTATTATATGATTAAAATTCAAGGTTAGTTGCTCATTTTTTATTAGGGCTTCATTTTTATTGTTAGCCTTATGCTTCTAAAAAGTTAGGACTGACCCTGATTTCACATACAAAGTTTCAATATAACTTAAGAAAGTCTTATGAAATCTTCGACCAATCATATATAAATTTCTACACCCACTAGTTTTGATTTCAATTACATATTATACAAAATATACAATCTTATTGTTAATTACAATATCATACACTACACATATTTCATCATTAAATAACATGATGTTGCTCTTGAGCCATAGACTTCATCATGTTGTAAACCACACCACTAGTTTTTTGTTCCTTGTCACTCTACCCTTTAGTTTCTTTAAGAATTATGAAAGATGTTGTTGGCTAAAAATTAGCCAACTGGAAGCATCGACCTCGACAGAAGCTAGAGGAAGTAGGCGCCAGACCGACAAAATCCTTAGGTGGAAGCCAAGGATCGAAAGAAATAAAACCTTGAAAAACACGCACTGAATTGACACGGAAAAGCGGCATGGTCGACGGGTTCCTGCGTCGATCGACCCAAAAGAAAACCAACAGGGGTACCTTCGGCGGGATAGTTTTGTGCCTGGCGGGAAATCGATTTGAAAAGAGGAATGTGGGAGCAGTTACAAAAGTCATGGACTGACACATGGCGCATCCTGAAGCCTCCTGACAGTTATTTTATGTGTCTATATAAAGCAAAGTCTTGTTTTGAAATGGGGGCGTTTTTTGTGAGCATTGGAAGAAAAACACTCTGAGTACCACACACTAAAGAGAAAAGAGTTTTACTTTCATTCCAAATGTACGAATACGTCTAGTTGTACTTTCCTTTTTCACGTTAAATTTACCAAGTCTTTATGTTATTTAGAGTAACATTTTGTTCAGCATTTCTTTAACGTCTCTATTTCAGCATTTCATTGTCTTACTTTTCTTTATTTTCCTAAGTTTAATCCTACACGCTCCATAAAGCAAACAACCGTCAAAGGGCGCCATCAACCTAAGTAAACGATCCATCCTAAACCACTATCCTGGGACTAGTTTGGCCGGTCCCGCAAGCAAACCTACGGAGGAAGGTTAGAGGTTGTCCGCGTAAAAATCACGTGCGAACAAATTGGCACACCTGGTGGGACCTGTAGATTTGGGGATATGTAGTTACGTAGCGGAAATATGGTGACACCACGATAAAACGAAGAAACATTTTCGCAGGGAAATCCGGTTTCATCACCAGGGACGGCTCTGGGCACCGGATCCACGACAATAGTCACGTCGACCGCTTGCAGTGGACCATTCGCGACTCCAAGTCGATCCGAGGCGAGACCCGTGACGGCAGGAGTCAACGAGTAATACTTGCCCTGTTTCACCATTTCAGCACCCCAACACTTAGGGATGCCACCAGAATTTATGTCTACGTGGCGCTATGGTGAAATAGGCACGGGAGAGAATTCCTCTTCAGCATTCTCGCCATATCGAAATCTAGGCCCCCTGACCCAACAAGGGGGAAGGTCCCCAGGTTTTGGGTCACTTACCAACTTTCACCACTAGTTTTGTTATGGGCATGCGACAGCAGATGGATGAAAGTAACCACAAGATGGTACATATGTTAACCCAACAAATTGGCACCATTCTGAGACCTTTAATACAAGATTTGATCCAGAGTTACCAATAACTGGCAACTCAGATGACTCGAATAGGAGACTTCTTAGGGGCACCTAGGAACGTAGGAGGACAAACCCCTCCAAATCATCCTGACACGCTAGTTCGGCAGAATGAGCCTGTCGAAGAGAGAAACGACCTACAAGCGCATGAGAACGAACATATCCCTAGGGTGGCCCAAAGGCCCCCCATTGTGATGGTTCGTAGGGACCAAGACCCAAACCATGTAGTCTGACAAGTTAGAAATGAGAATCCTGGGGGCAAAGCCAATCTAGAGGCCATGGTCGAACGCATTATGGTTCGAAATAGTGTGATCCCTAGCCTTCGACGGCCCGCCTACACGTCCCCTTTACCAAATTTCGTGTTACAAACAGAGTTACCAGGGGGATAGAAGGTCCCAAAATTCACCAAGTTTGCGGGTGAAACAGAGGAGTCCACTGTCGAACATGTAGTTAGGTATCAGACCGAAGCTGGGGAAATAGCGAATAACGAGGATTTAAAAATGAAATATTTTCCTAGTTCCCACATAAAAAATGCATTCACATGGTTCACTTTGTTTCCCCCACAGTCGGTCCACACATGGGCACAGCTAGAAATATTGTTTCACGAACAATTTTACATGGGACAATCAAAGATCAGCTTAAAAGAGTTAACCTGCGTAAAAGCAGCGGAGTCCGTAGACCAATATCTGAACAGGTTCAGACTATTGAAAGCGCAATGTTTTACGCAAGTCCCTGAACACGAATTGGTCGAAATGGCCACGGGAGGACTAGATTATTCCATTCGGGAGAAGTTAGATACACAATACTAAGAGATATGGCACAGCTGGCCGACCACGTCCGACAAGTCAAACATTTGAGGAGCGAGAAATCTCAGACCAACCGCTACTGTAAGAAAGAAAAGGTGGCGTTTGTAGCCACCGATGGATATTCATCTGACGATGAGGAGTTCGTCGAAGAAAATGCCGTCAATGTGGGTGAACTAAAATCTGAACCGCCATACGCGTGCAGAGTCCTGAAGCCGTCGAACGGAAAGAATCCGGTCGATACGGAGAAAACGAACAAATACGTCATAAAAACATATTCTTTTGATGTATCCAAATGTGATGAGATATTTGATGTATTGGTTAAAGATGGTTAAATTGTCGTCCCAGTCAGGACAAAATATCCCCCTCTAGAACAAAAGAAAAAGAGGAGATTCTGTAAATTTCACAACTTTCTTGGTCAAAAAACTGCTCAATGTGTTATTTTCAGGGATTTGATGCAGAAAGCGTTGAAGGAAGGACGACTATAGTTCGGTGAAAGACCAAAGATGTAAGTGGATGCGAACCCTCATAAGACAGAGGAAGCACTGTATTCTGAAGTGGCAGAATGCATGATGATCGAGGCTACTGAGGGCCTTAAGGAGCAAGTAACAACCTCAATCCTAGACTGCATGATGATCGAAGCTACTGAGGGTTTCGACAAGAAGACAAAGATGGATTTTGAGGGAATCTACCCTCAAGCCGGGGAAAGTCTGGCAGAATTTCAAGAAAAATGCAAAGTCAGCGGCTCCACAACCGCCCTCTGTCCCAGGTGTCATGCTGTATTCGACCAGAAAGCGGCGGACAAGGTCAAGTCAGACAGAAAACCAGTTCCAAGGTTCGTGTTCGACAAAGATTGCACTCATCGAAGAAATCAGGAGTACCGAAAGTTGTTCCAGCCAGCAAGGCCCAGAATTTTTGTAC